AAATTGTCTCTTTGAAACTAATTGTTTGTGGTTAATCGTACTGATTAGTTTGTGAATTTGTTCTCAAACGATGAAATCGTTCAAATGAAATGCCCTTTGGTTTGTCTTATACTTTACATAATGGATATAATGCTCTTGTATCATAAACAATTCCTTCTCATGATTGTGTTTGTATTAAAAGTCGATTATATCTCATTGCAATCTATTTTAAGGATAAGATTTGTAATGTGATTTATAAATTATACATAATATAATTCGAAAGAAAGATAAATGATAAATCTATTTTTTAATTCTACATTTGAAAAATTCACACTCGACTTTGCATTTATAGAGTTCGTTCCAATAATAAATGTATGCTCGGATCTTTTGCATTAGTATGTTGCTCTATATTTTTTTAGGACAATCAAGTACATTGAGATTTTGATAACAAAAAATTGATAACGAAGTTTACGTCCATTGATTTCTTCACCACAATGTTGAAATGTTACTTTTCTTAACAAAAAAAAATATTAAAATGTTACGTATTGGCATTTTTTTTTTCTCCCAAAGTTTTCTAGTGGTACAATTCTTCACAAAAACATCATTCAAACACCAAAATCAACAAATCTTTTTATAAATCCATTTAAAAAAAGAAAAAAATTAGAATGGGAACGTTTTTATGACAAATCAAGAGAAAAACATTTGATAATCAAGAATAGCTCTTCTTCGAGTTCTTCAAGAAAACATTTGAAAATCTAGAAAAACTCTTCTTGTCACTCTTGACACTCAAGAGTCTGATCATTACGTATATTGTTCAAAAAAACATAAGAAAATTACTACTTCTTCTTCACTCTTGGAACTCCTTGTGACCGGTCATCGCATATTTGGATCAAAAATAGCATAAATGAGAGCATTGAGAAACAATGAGGAAGATATCAACTAATAGCATGATCTGAAACCTTAGACATAAAAATTTCAGATATCCATTAGATAATAGTCACCTCCGATTCCTGAAAGATAAAGAAAAACCAATTTATCTATTAACAAAAAAGCATTATGATGCATGCATGGATAGTCGAGTAAACAAATGAAGTTCACTTGAAATGTAGCTTTTCTTCAATAAGTGAAAGATTTAAAACCATGATTTCCTTTTTTTTTTWTTTCTTGTAAGCAAATGAAGCAAATTCATTTTAGAAAGAACAAAATTGTCTGCGCAAAAGCTCTATAATTAAAATCACTATGGAATCGACAAAAGAGTTTCATAATGGAACCAAAAAAATTCCCAACAGACATTGATGTTGTGAACTATTGTTAAAGGTATATGTTGTTCGGTGATCTGCATGACAAAATCATATTGGTTACCGTG